GAATAATTCGGAAAATAGCAGTGAGCCTAGTAATTTTGTCGGATATTTGATTAATGAAGTAAAATTTGCTTAGCGGCAATCTTTCTGGTTAGAACGCTTCATTGCTTGCCCATATGGCGAGAAATTTTTGCGAGGGAATTAACAGTGGACAGAAATATAGGAGGGCCACAGTCCGCATTTCTGATGGGAGGTTTGCTGTTAGCGGAACTAGGCTCTTGCCGCGCGAGGCGGTAATAACAGCCACAACTGCTCGTTTATCCTGCGCCACTCCCTCAGTTAACTCGCTTTATCCATCTTTGAATAGCAAAACGGCACAAACATTATAATCATTTTCCTAGTAGCAATAATTAAGAAATTTCTCGAAAATCAAAGAAATGTTCGCTGTTCAGATAAATAATCTAATCGCAGTTTTGGAAATCACCGTGCGGACTATCATAAGAATAAGCCAACTTATCTTATAGTGCAGTAAGCTTCAGTTAATCGTAGTTCATAATCTATGTAATCTGGTCGATACTCAGTTTGATTAGATGACTTAATTTAATTTAATTAAGCCTGGTGAGCTTAGTAATCCAACTGCAGGAATTTGCCATTCCAAATTTTAAGGATGAAGCGAATTCTTAATTAAGATTGAATCAGAAAAAAATTAGCAGATTTCATTTATTAGGAGACAAAAAAACATAGCAGTTGTGGCACTCGTGATAACGATTTAATGAATTCGATGCTCCCAATTTCGGTTCAGTTCTCCCGTTTATAAAACTCGAGCAAAGTATTCATTCTTTTTGAAATAACACATTTTTCTAATCAATTATAATTTCGATAAGTTGGAAGGCTGCAACTGTGCTGAAACCAGCAATAATAGCAGCGAGTTGAGCAAGATTCGAGTATTCATTAACACGTTCAGTAGCGATCACCTGTAAGATTTCTTTTTTTCAGTCATGAAGTGGTTTTTCTGGCTTCTTTTTTTCGCCATTTGTTACTGCGGTGGTAGAAATAAGGTGAATTCTTAACACTCTACCAGGCCTAATGGTAGGTTTATTTCTGTTGGAAGCAGGAACGTTCAAGACAATAATTTGAGCAATAATCACTTCGTTATCCTGACATTATGTACTACTTTTTGAGTTCCTATGGGAAGTTCGTATACTTACTTCAAAAAATGTTACATAAATGAAAGTTCCAGCTGCTAGGGCACTGAGCGATATTATTAGTCCTTCTTTATATTGCGCGTCCATATTAGTATACTAGAAATAATAAAATTTAAAATGTAGGAGAAAATATGGAAAGTAAAAGGTTAAAAGGTAAAAGGTTAAAAAATGTGGGCCCATCTGTTTGCTATCCCCAAGCGACAGTTGGGTCAAGTAAACTGTAAGCATTCGTCTGTTTCAACACGCTTGTTAATGCGATGATAGGTTTGGACGTAGGCTTGGACGTAGCGATTTTAAAAACGGTCATGTAAGGTCTCGGC